GCTGCGAGGGGTCCGGCTCATCAGTGGGTCCCCCAGCTTTCCCTGTCTGCTTCCTGGTTCAAAACCAGTGTGTACGCGACACCCCCTTTGGGTGATGCAACAAACCAATCGCATACCACCTGGACTCGCTTCACAATCAGGTAGAAGCAGCTACTACCATCACTCCCACATACAGTCCTACTCTCAGGCCTGACTGGATGCTGTAAACACCAGCCCTGGCTTTGGCAGTGGCCACTGCCGAATGAGACAGAAACTCTCCCGGAGGTGCCTTCAGTCTTTTACCTACAATATGGGATTCGAATTGACGATTGTAGTTCTCTGAGTAAAACCATTACACATTCAACCAAAGTCTTCTGCTTTGGACATGTATCGAATACGCTTAGTCACCTTAGACATCATTGCTATGCTATTTTGAGGCGTTGTTGAAACTTCACTGAGTAAATATGAGACATTCAATAATCTTCACTGTCTGTATACGGAATACTTTACAGTTATGAAGATGATTGTAAAATATGTAACAAGCTCTTACCAAGTAGACGCTTCCGGCGAACCCGAGACCGACGAGGACACTAGTGTAACGATAGAGCCTTTCACTGGCCACTGTCAAACAACCCTAAACGTTATAAACAGAGACAGTAAGACAAAAACCTGTCCCATGAGAAGGAATTACCTGTTGATTGAGATATATGTTGTCTTGTGTAATAAATCGTGGTCGACTAGCCGTCGGGGCTGTGAAAATGGCTCTACTGGCGAAGGGTACTGGAGCCAAACCGACACATACATTACGATTGACAATTTCATCAAAGTTTGCCCGTGCGGCTTCCCGCCTGAGAATGCCTCCCACCTGGCCCTTTGTGACGCAGCAGCTGTTCGGGACGAACGGTGGACCATAATCTAGAGAGACAACTGAATGCTATTTAAAACGCCAAATAAAATGTAAATAAGGATGAGTGTCCATTTGACCGTGGATGCAATTAGTTGTCGAATGAATGAGAAGGGTCGCGTTCCAGGTATCTGCACGGATAAGGAAGAAGACATGTCGAACATCGGATCAAGTAATTAACTGTCCTGAATTTTTGAAGTCTTTTTGTTTGCGGCTTCTCATATCTGAAGATGGACTCCTGTAAGATTTCGAAAGCTCCGGACAATAAATCAATTGATCCGGTGCTCGACATGTCTTTTTCCTTATTCATGCAGTTAGTTATACCGGACAGACCTTAGTTCTGAGATGCTTCCACATATCTTCCAAACGCTCCGGTGTTTATTATTGTAACATGCATTTTTTTCATCAATGTCCCTCGTTAACGTCAATTTTATTATAAAGCTGTGAGTAAGTCTGCCAGCAAAGAATTATGTCAGAGTGTTCTGATAAGCCAATTTACGAATACTGTTGTCAACTGTTACAGAGTCAAAAATACAGGCGTAACATTTATCGATTTCACTGATTGTTCGGCGAAATACGATGCTTCTTTCATGCCTTGGTAGAAGGAGCAGCATAAAACGGGGCTACAGTTGACATTCATTAGAGTGTTTAACCGTGCCACTACTTAACCACAAGCTGTTTATCAGCTGAAAAAAGGTGCAACTTTTAGTCCCATGAAGCATAGCCTAGTCACTGGTCTAGTACAAACAACATATTAGTAGGGGGGGGGCTAAATTAAAGCCCAACCTGATCAATACTAAAAGCTTCAATTCCTCCATGAAAACAAAACGCTTCAATGGCATAAAATAGAAGATGCTATTTATCAACTGCTTTGCCTATGAACAAGGAGAACATTAAATAAACAGTGGTTCCAATACCACCAACCTAGTTGAAAACACAACATAGACGTAGTACAAAGTTGAAACATAAGGGTATACAGATTTCAAGTGCGAAAATATTTTTATTCTGAAATGTCTGGATACTTTATCCTAAATGAAACAGTAGAAATCGACCTCATTTAGTTACGTAATACAACGTTAGGCATTACAATGGAAATGGCGTCGTAGGGACCATTGTATAAAATTCCAAATTTGTCACTGTTTACCTCATAACTAGTAGTGTTGTCCCCTATACCTGACACCACATCATCATTGTGAACAGCAAATAGATAGCATAATAAAGATTTAATTATAAATCCAGTGGAATCTAGTGACAAACGCTTGACATTAATTATTGAACAGCGGTGGACAGCAGGAATCTAGTATAAATCATAACTGAGGAGGGGGAGGGAACAACAGCTTTAAGTTGACTAAAGTGAAACGTAACAGCATGCGTTAAAAAAATGGAAAATACACGGAAGGAATGTATACCAAACTTGTGTCGAACCCGGTACCAGGCGCTGGAATGCTGATACAGAAACCAACTGAGTGAACTGTTTCTTTCACCCTGCACACCACAGCATCCCAACTGAAAAAAAATGATTGGAGGTAAAATATATCTCACTTGCAACTGTAAATTGTCCACAGCTGTAGTGAGCTCGCGATTACGCTCAATATCTTGATTGATGCCATAGTATTTGGTAATCGCGACAAACATGGCATCATCCAGTCCAGAATAAAGCTAAATAAATGGTTAGTTAAAAGCATATTCAAGACCGTTGTACATTTTTATTTGCTAGCAAGGCGCAGATACCGACAGAGAGCAGAAGCGCGCAGCCAACTAAATCGAGTATGACGGCCTAGAAAGCGTCAAAGTTCGCTCGTAAAAACCTACCGATAAAAGTAAATGTACGTCTTCCACACAGACAGAACAGCAGCCCACGACGACGAGAATAAAACAAAGGAGGCCACAGGCAACCATAAGTGGTGGGGCATAAGATAAGTAATAGTAGTTGAGAATCACATCAAATGTTTTCAAGTCATTTGCCCATACAAGAATCCACGATCCATAGCCAACTAAACCAGAGGAGAGTATCTTTATCAAAGAAATAAAACAGCCCTTGCATTTTAGTATAAACTTACGAGCAGTAGCGTTGAGTGTGCTATGGAGATATTTCGGACAATGCGGATGAGACGAGATTCTGTCACAGAGGACGGGAAATTTTCAAACATTTCCAATGAAGACGCCGGTCTAGATTAGATCATCATTATTCAAAGGAAAGGTTAGGAATGTAAAAAAATTTCAAATACAAAAACAAATAGGGTTAATTCAATTACAAAGGTGATGATCAATGTCCACATTTGAAGCGAGGAAATTTAATATTATCAAGGAAATTTAGAGCTAAAGCGGTGCAGTATAAAGTTTACTGTAGGAAAGATCTTTCCTACATCAAAGACAATAGTCAGGGAGTTCAAAGGCGTTTGCCTATATTTCCTTTAATAAACTTGACTTGACTTGACTTGACTATCGTCTTTAAGTTTGAAGTTAAGAATATTTCAGAAGTAAGTTTATCGTCTTCATTAAAAATGCTGCCCCATAACATTTAACTTCAACGGCACTAGCGGTGGCAATGTAAATGTAACCGCTATGGAGTAAAGTTTATTTAATTAGGAATTTAAGGATATAAATATATGATGCACGTGATTAAATGTTACTCTTTTGAAAAGTCCAATGATATGCAGTAACCTTGGTTAAGGAATAAATGATGCAATAAAACATACGAGACCATGGATACATTTTACAATAATGAACTACCGTTACTTAAAAGTATCCGTTAAGTTGCATAGGTTGGCCATTTATATCTCCACAGGGATTGAATAATGACTATGCTGCAGGTTCGAACTTGGCAGGTTTTTTGATATGCCCTCTGAGTGTGACTTTATCATAAACACATATAGTCCGATTTAGACCTAAGGTAGCATACCATTTCGGAACGCGTCAAACAAAGGATAGCACTCCGTTTATTTTAATTTAACTGTTGATTAAGCAGAAGGAGCATGAAGAATAGAAAAACACTTATAAAGTATTGGAAGGAAAGTTCACTAGATAGAGAAGTAGAAGGCATTGTGATCACCGGATTCGTACATTTACTTGTCTGAGTTTTCAGGCTCGTCTTTGTTACTCGTCTTTCGTTTACACATTTTGTTTCTGACGATGGACTTCAGAAAGTGCCAAAAAGCTCGGACAAGAAAAAGTATGATTCCGGTGATCGCGATGCCTTCTACTTCTCTATCTACACGTATAACTGGAAAGCGAATATTTGCCTCAATTCGTGAAAGTGGAATTTCGTGTATTCCATTTTGATCTAACCACAAATGCCAATAAAGAAAAGAAGAAATTTCCGTTAAAAAGATTCGGGGGTAATGGGGCACCTTGTCTTGAAGCCAAATCGTCAGCATAAACAAGCCATGACAAAGCCTCCTGGCACCACTTTCTGAAGTCTACTATCAAGGCGTTCTATAGCATCTGTTGTCAACTGACATTTAACAAATTTATAGTATATGGAATATTAACCTTTGACGTTCATCTCGTCGTTTCTTAAATTTAAATTCTATTATGTAATGGGAAATCCGGTTATTTCCCGCTGACGTACTTCTATTTCTGTTTTTTTTTACAAAAAAACGTTGATGGCCGTGGAAAATAACGGAAATTTCGTTATTATCCATGGCCATCAACGTTTTTTTGTAAAAAACAGAAATAGAAGTACGTCAGCAGGAAATAACCGGAGTTCTCATTACGTAATACAGGTTAAATGTAGGAAACGACGAGATGAACGTCAAAAGTTAATATTCCATATACTATAAATGTGTTAAATGTCAGTTGACAACAGATGTTATAGAACGCCTAGATATGCGAGAGTAGTATATCTAAAATAGGAGAAAGAGTAGGAATGGATTTATCAATAATGTGGACAATCTAAGTCATTTAAATCATTTTTAGTCATTTTATTAAGGGAAGAAGGCTTTTGCCTTTGAGCTCCCTATTCATATTCAAAAATGGCAAAAGACTTAAACCGTAACAATAGTACATGATGCAAATGTAGGCTTAACATCAGCGATAAGTGTGACCCATTTGCAAGGTGCTGCTACTGACACAATGTTCATTATATCTGTCACAGTTTCTCAGCAAATTAGAATCAAGTTTGTGCTTAAAAATGTCAGCAGTATCTGAGAGGACCACCTTGTCAGGGAGTCTGTTCCACGCTCCGATGACCCTCTGCAAGAAGGCGTTCCGTCGTACGTCCATATGGGCCGGTTTCCTCTACAGTTTAAAGGGATGACCCCGCAGATGATCCGTCCGAGCCAGTTAGTAGAATTCGTCAAATTCTAGGGCACACTCACGGCCTCTAACAATTCGGTAGGTTTGTATGAGGTCACCGCGGAGTTTCCTATAATTGAGAGTAAAAAGATCAAGTTCGGTCAATCTGTCTTCATAAGACAGATAACCAAGATACTTGACCATCTTCGTAGCCCTCGCCTGCACTCTTTCCAGGTGCAGGTTATCCTTCCTGAATCACGGACGCCAGGCCTGGATGGCATACTCCAAGTGGGACCGAACAAACGCTC